AACCTCCTTCCTGAGGGGAGTGGGGCAAAAAGTGTGTGTGCTGGGTGGGTGGGGTCCTTCATGATGCAGGTGGCCCTCTTCCTGCATCTGGAGGTGTAGATGTCTGTGATGGTGGGGAGACTGATTCCAACAGATTTCTGTGCAGCCTTCACCACTCTCTGCAAAGCTTTTCTTTCTGCAGCTGTGCAGCAGAATAACGTTTAACGTTTTTATTTAGGAGAACGTTTTTCTGGATAACATTATCAAACTCCTGTCTTCAAGTCTTCTGTAGGTTTAGCTTTTTAAAACAGAGCAGCTTTATTTCACTCTTTATTGCTCAAAGGGATGGTTTCTAATCTAGGTGTTGGGGAGGCCAAGACAATAATAAACTGGGAAAGGGATGTTCCAAAAAGATCCACGACTACTATATTTAAATTCTGTTTGTCTGTTCTCACTGAGCCAGTGAGGACGCATGGAAAGTGGTATATTTAGCTTAACATTGGATGACTTCCACCCACATCAAGGTGGTGGTGGGTGGTTTTCACAAGGAGACATTGTTGTACAGCACAAACAAATGAACGGGTTACAGAGCAACACAGAGCAGCTGTAGCCTTACTGAAAGGACACCAATCAGAAAGAGATAGAAGAAAATAAATAATTATAAACAACCGGGATGAACTTTTCATAACCCTGAAGCACCAATCATCGGTTTGGAAAGCTCCTTCAGTGTCTAACTGTAATTAAAAACTTCCAGACAAAGGCTTTAAATGAAGGACAGTTTTCAGCTACATTCACTTTGAATTTGGTGAGACTGGAAGGCTGGACCACATTCAGGGTTCAGACACAGAAAGACTTGGTCCCAGGCCATCTCGGGTCTCAGTGGCTGTTCTCTTCCTGTTTGTTACTGGAACAGACCCACAAGTCTGTGAGCGGTAACAGGAGTAGGCCTGTCGTGATAAACAATAAATCAATTAATCGCATGATAAATGAAAATGATCGACCTCGTTTTCTTTTATCGACTTTATTGTTTCTTCGTGTCTCTCTTTCTACTGAAGACACTGGATGACAAAAGGCTCAACTCCGGTGCTCTTCACTGTCCCCTCCCTTTCTCTTTAAAATCAATTTTAACCGTCCAAAATCACATTTTTAGATCGTTAAAAGCAGCTAAGCTGAGAAGCTAAGCTACGAGCTAAGCTAACAGGGCGACCTTGGGAAAAAAACTTCATTCTTGTCAAAGCTCCAAAATTCACGGTTGAAATCTGTGCCTTCATCTAAAAAGTTTTTCTCTGCAAAAAGAAGAGAACTTGTTTACTGATTTTTTTTTTTTTAAAGCTTCGTGTGAAAAATGCTATGCTAAAGAGCTCAAACCACACCAAGCCTTTGCCATTTTGAGAACCAGAGAGAGACAGCCCATGTCATGTCCCATTTTTCTTAAAGAGATACGCTGCTCGCTCACTCACTATCCATCCTTCGGTTCAAATAGTCTTATACTGCCATCGGTGGTCAAAAAAAGGTACTACATGCAAAACAAATTAACAAAAAAATGTCTTTAATTTAACAATAATTACTAATTCTTGTCGAGTTTAAATAAATATTATCGTTTATCGTAATAATTTCTGAGACAATTAATCGCCCAGCAAAATTTGTTATCGTGACAGGCCTTAACAGGAGAGCTTCTCTCAGGTGTCTAAAATCTGGAGGAGATTGTAATCCTGTATGGATGTGGTTTCATAGTCAGACCAAAGTCAGCACCAAGATCCAGCTTCTGTCCAGGAACGTTTTTGATCTTCAGCCCATGAAGCAGCGTAGTGAGAAAGACAAACATCTCCAAACGTGCAAATCCATCCCCAACACACCGCCTCTTCCCCACGCCAAAGATGAGGACCTTCTCTGTCCGATCCTTGTTCAGCTGTCCAGACGCATCCAAGAAGCGGTCGGGATGAAACTTCCCCGGATCACCCCAAAGATGACTGAATAAAAAACAAAAAGCCATGATGGTTTTCACTCATATTTATGAATTGAAAATATTGAGCTGAGCACGTTTAATGTGATTACTCACACGTCATGATTGACTTGATGCTGATTAATGAAAACACACGTATCCTTGGGGATGAAATATCCATTTAGGATGGTGTCTCTGGTGGTGCTGAAGAGAAGAAAACAAGTTTGACCATTTTCTTTACAGTAGAAATGTATGTTCTGCATATGCAGTCTCACCTGTGGGGTATGGTGAAAGGAACGTATGAAGAGTGACGAAACACCTCGTGAATGAAAGCTTCAGTGAACGGCATTTTAGGCTTATCTGAAAACCTGGGCAGTCTGGCTGAGCCAATGTGGTCATCTTAAAAATTTAAAATAAATCAAATGATAACTAAAAACATAGACAAGGCTGTTGCCCAGAAAAAAATCCACGTTTAAAGGTAGATTTTTTTTAAAGCATATAAGAGTTACAATGCACATTGCTGCAATCAAATTGACTAAACAGTCTAAAACTTACCACAAATTAAACAGTTTATGTTATTTTTATGTTTTAAACTGCTTTGACACAATTCATTGCAAATGACATCAACATGTGTGGCTTAATCAGGAACATGTGCTGATATTTTTGGTAGCAGGACATCTTACGATATAGACAAAATTAGAAATAAAGGAAAATACAAAAATATATTTCCGCGCAGACAACACTGGGATTTTAGTCAAATTAGTAAAAATTTCGGAGCTTATTGGAGCTTTATGGCTCAGACAGGCATCACTGAAAGTTTGAACAGCTCACAGACGCTCACTTTGAAATCCTAACTAGATTTTACCCAATCCCAGTTTAGTTTTAATAATTATTGAAGATTTGTCCACATATATTTGTCGTAAAGTGTGACTTTTGCAACTTTTGAATGGTCGAAACGTTCTCTAATCTTGTAGCAGGTTTAATCTTTATACATTTTATACAGTTTGCACATCAAAATGTAAGCATTTCTGTCTTTTTTCACCCAGTGAAAGAAGAGACGTCTCACAATTAGTTCTTAGTTTTCTCTCCAACGCCCTCAGAGTGCAGAGTGCACACATCAAAACTCTTGTTGATTCCCATTGCATCTGAGCTCAGCATTGTGCTTTCAAAACTGAACGTAAAGACTCTTTAACTTCTTCAATATAACTTGTTGTTGCAGACTGACTGCTTGGATGAAGCTTATTATCTGCCCTGCGTTTCTTTCGGCCTGTTTTGATGCCTTTCGTGTTCCTGCCTTTGTGTTTCTCTTGAACTATCTGACCCCAGTCAGCCAGCTAAAAAACATTCTCCGGTGTCAGCAAACTGATCTGATCTTTTGTGAGTTCCTCTCTGCCCTGAAAGGAACCTCAGGTTGAACACTGTGGGTTTTCATTATGCTGACTTCGCTTCAGACATCACAGAAACCTGGTGTCAAACTGTTTTCGCCTGATATTTTAAAGAAACTTGACTTTGCTCTATGAACACGTTTTATATCAATATTTATGTTAAAATATGCTGTATTTAAAGCAATGTCTTCTCTAAAGCTTTGCTCTTTCTTCAGTTAACCTGCAGCCCAAAACTGTAACTCATTAGAGATTAAAACAAACTTGAAATCATTCATGTGTAACCTGTTGTTTTTAAGCAATTAGACTACTAATCATATAGACTGCACATTGCAAGATTTTTTTCCTTCTAACACAAAGTCATTATTTTGTACAAGCAGTAAATATGCTGTATGTAAGATAGGCCTGTCGCGATAAACAATAAATCAATTAATTGCATGATAAGTGAAAATTATCGACCTCGTTTTCATTTATCGACTTTATCGTTTCTTCGTGTCTCTCTTTCTACTGAAGACACTGGATGACAAAAGGCTCAACTCCGGTGCTCTGCACTGACCCCTCCCTTTCTCTTTTCTCTTTTAAATTAGTTTTAATAATCCAAAATCACATTTTTGGATCGTTAAAAGCATCTAAGCTGAGAAGCTAAGCTACGAGCTAAGCTAACAGGCCGACCTCGGGAAAAAACTTCCGTCTTGTCTAAGCTCCAAAATTCACGGTTGAAACACATGCCTTCATCTAAAAAGTTGTTTTTCTCTGAAAAAGAAGCTGAAAACTTGTTTACTGATTTTTTATTTATTTTTTAATTAAAAGCTTTGTGTGGAAAATGCTATGCTAAAGAGTTCAAACCACACCGACCATCCACCATTTTGAGAACCGGAGTGAGACAGCCCATGTCAGTCAAGGGGCCTCCCTCCCATTTTCCTTAAAGAGACACACTGCTTGCTCCCTTACTATCCATCCTTTGGTTCAAGTTGTCTTATACTGCCATCTGGTGGTTGATAAAAGGTACTACACACAAACAAACAAAATTTCTTCTTAAATTTGACAATAATGACTAATTATTGTCAAATTTCAAGCAATATTATAATTTATCGCAATAATTTTTGAGACAATTAATCGCCCAGCAAAATTTGTTATCGTGACAGGCCTATTTCATTTAAGAAATAACTGTGTTGTGTTAGAAGGTCAAACGATACCTATCTCCTGGTGTATTTTCTCCTGGACGTCAGGAAACTTGATGAGGTACAACAGACTCCACTGCAAACCATCAAAGATGGTGTCAAAACCTTCAGAAGGACCCGAACAAAACAAGTGAAAAGTTTTCAGAAGAATAATATGATTATGGTATTCAGGCAGGACTTTGAGATGGATTACCTGCACCGAAGATGTCTATGACGGTGTGGATGATCTGAGAGTTGGACAGCAGAGACGTTTGCTTGTTCTCTTCTCTGTCTTCACAAAGTTCAATCAGAGCATCTGTGATGTCTCGGATGTAGTTCTATAGTCACACACAGACAGGAAAACACACACACACACTGAAATGCTGTCTCAGTCTCAGTAAGTTTTCCATCCATCCATTCATCATCTTTTACCCGCTTCTTCCTTTTCGGGTCATGGGGGCACTGGTGCCCATGTCCAGCAGTCACTGTGTGAGAGGAAGGGTACACCCTGGACAGGTCTCCAATTCATCACAGAGACAAACGAGACAAACAACCATTCACTCTCTCACTCACACGTAGGGACAATTTAGAGTTACTAATCAGTCTAACATGCATGTTTTTGGTCTGTGGGAGGAAAGCCGAGTACCCGGTAGGGCTTTAACAGACTACTCGAGTAATCCACATCGATTCCTAGGACATCTATCGAGTTTTTTAATTTCACGTAGAGTATTCGTGGTGAGGTCATTACGTCGCCGTTACATCGTTGCATCACGTGTCACGTGATCCGCACCGGGCGCAGGTTACAAAATGAATTTCTCCCAGCAGATGGACTGAGCGGAGCAGACCCAGTCTTGGCAACAGATAGAAATGCATCAATAGTATGTAAATATTTCACTAAAGATGAATCTTCTGGTTCAACTACCGTAAGGAAACAGAAAATGAATAAACTTCCTCACTGTTTGGAGCTCGTTGCGAACCGGTGTTACACCATATTTTGTGACAACCGTATATTGTGACTGTAAGGGGCGGTGTTGCATGCACTGTTGCAGGTCACAGAATATGGTGTAACACCGGGTCCAATGACCCAACCAGAACCAGCTTCCTCTGACCTTGTTTCACAAACAAAAAGCAAAAAATATTAATCTCTAAACCTATAAAAACATATAACCATATTAATCTCTAAAACTAAACCTAATGTGCACCACAGCTGGCGGTGGTGCGGGGTGGTCGACCGCCCCACTGTTTTTAGTTTTGTTTTTGACGTGCTGCACGTTTCTTTCAGTTTTGCAGCTTAATAATAAAAACTAATAGTTTAGTTTTTCCTGTGACTTATTTGTAGTATGATAAATGGTAGGAGCATAATATATGCTCCCAATGTTTTGTTGGTCTTTTTTTGTAAATAATGACCTTTTTTGTGGTTTTATTTATTTTTGTATCTTTAGAACCTATGATGTCATTAAGTATTTAAGTTCTACTCGAGTTTTATTATGTTAATGTCGAGCTTAAAAATTATGTAGTCGTTCAACCCCTAGTACCCGGAGAAAACCCACACATGTACGGAGAGAAAATGCAAACTCCACCCAGGAAGGTCCCGGTCCAGGATTTGAACTGGCAACCTTTTTGCTGAGAGGCAACAGCTCCACCAACTGAGCCACCGTGCCGCCCACAATAAGTTTTGAAATTTAAAATAATCCATTCAAGAAGAGCTGGTAATCAGTTATGATCAGACATGTGTCTTCCACAAGGCTGCTAATTTTCAAATGGGGTGCATGTGGATATTTTATCCATGCTGCAAGAACAAAAGTCCTTTTCCGGGATCGTCTTTTTTTATTTTTATTTTTGGCTACAGTTCCACTTACTGCTGTGTGTATGCACTGTCAGATTAAATTGGGACAAATTAAGTGAGAAAGATTCAAGGAAAACAACACAGTTACACAGTCTTCAAAATATTCTTAGCCTTCTGTAATCACTGTTTTTCACTGTGGATCATGGTTCCACTTTCCTCGTATCTACAGCTGCAAATCATGGCGGTCTTGTTTAAAAGTGTGCGTGTGGGTCTCTTCACCTTATCAAATGTGTTGATGTGTTCCTCAATCCTCCGCTCCATAAATCCATTCATCCGGTGAATGTATTGGACCAGTTTTCTTAGAGATGGACTTGGAAAGTAGCGGAACATGGGGAAGAAATCAGCCAAGTTCCCTGCAGCAAAGAGTTTCAGAACCTCGTTGTTGATGTTGACAATGGTGAGGAACTCCTTGTCATTGTGGTCGTATCTTCTCCCAAAACATAAGGCGCACACAACATTTGCCACACAGGTCACCAAGGACATTGATGGATCTATGCCCATCATATCAGAGTCTTCAGCAGCTTGTTTCTGAATCACCTCCACCATCTCAGTGGCCTCAGCGCAAATATGCTCCTCCAGGAGGCAGGTGGCCCCGGACCCCCTCGGCTCAGCCTGAGAAAGGGACCTGAGGGCATTTTTACACAGCTTCTTATGGAGCAACCACGCAGGGCCATACTTCTCGCTGAAGGTCATGCTGTTCCCATCAGCTACAGCAGAAAAGGTAAAAAGTTCAGGTCGTCCAGCAAAATCCTCCCCTTGCCGAACCAGCGCCTGCCTGATGGTGGTGAACCCACTGAGAACAACAACCCTCAATGAGCCCAAACGCAGCTGAAACATAAAAACACTATAAATATGTAGCAACCGAGGAATCTTCTTTTATATCTAAAACTCCTATTTTAAGGAAAAACGTTCATCCTGCCTGGAAAACATCACCATACTGGAGGCCAAAGCGAGTCATGGAAAGATGCATCTGGTCCCCCATCTGGAGCAGATTGCCCACAAGGGGCCAGGGTGTGGGGCCCGGAGGAGCGGGGAACTTTGTGTGGTCCAACTGGGAGTCCTGCTGGCTCAGTTGGATCCTGATGACCACCAGGATCAGGGTGAGAAGAAACAGAGCAGCAGTAACAGTGGACAGAGAGGCAGAAGGCTCCTCGCTGACTATCAGGTTTCCTGACAGAATCAGCCCCATTCTGCAAATCTGCTAAAACTTATGGGAAAAAAGGAAACCTTTAACAGAAATAAAGTTACATTTGGGCCCAAGAGAATACGTGAAATCAGATCGAATGTGCAGGTTACTGAAGGAACAAAGAGAGGAAAAAGGAAAAGGGACAGGAAGAGGAAAGAAAGGAAAGGACTTGATGAGGTTTCCTGTTTAACAATTTTATTGAAAAAACTATATACTTTGTAATAATTGGTTCAATTTCACCGATTTTAATTGTCCTTTTTTCTGTTCCACCTCTTAGATTAGATTTATGAAAGTCGTCATGGCATCTTCGGCGCAATCCTACAAACAAACAAATAATATCACCAAAAAATACACAACTCTGTGCGGAACAACTGACGTTATAACAAGAAAACTCACCATAAAGCAGGTTGTGTATCTTTGTTGCAAACAGCAGCCGGATGGCTGAGAGAAACCAAACCTCCCAGCAGGCAGAAGTTTGAAGAGTGGTGGAGGAGGAGGATGTGTTCAGAGAACAGGACGTCCCTCAGCTACAGGTTGGACCTCTGCAGAGAAAACTGCAGCTCCTGCCCCCTTCACTGCACGATGAGGCCAAATGATGGAGATCACAACTTTAAAGTTCGCTTGTGCATTTTCAGTTTCAATGTTAAAGCTAACTTTTATGTGTGGTAACTTGAGTTAATTATACTTTAAACATTTGTTTCAAACATTCTGTCAGGATGTGTTGGGAATTTCTTCTAGGTGATCTCTCACTTATAGTTCATTTACACCAGCTTTGGAAAATGTGAAGACGCCGAGATAAATGTGTAATTTCTACAATTTGTCACCAGGGGAAGCTGTTTCTCTCTGAAAGATTGGGTTCAATAGATAATTGCAGGCGGCAACTTATTCTTGAATATTTCTGTGAAATTCAAGCTTTTGTCATATTGGCCTCAGGTTTTCAGGGTAAGGAGGATCAGAGAGAGAGCGAGGAGGACGTGGACAAAGAAACAATCATATTTATGTTTGTAAATCACTAGTTTAGGAATTTTAGATGATCTTTTTTTTAATAAACGCTTGCCAGTTTTTAAGACACTCCTTAAAGTTTAATGTGCATCAGTTTAATTTGATCAAAAATACAAATAAAGTTGTGATTGAAATTATTGTAATGCTACACAAGACTAAAGTTTTATAACTTTTACCTGACTGTGAAACAATCTCGTTTTCAATATTCCTGTGCTAGTAACAAAATGCATATTTATGTTAATGAAATTAAAGTTTTCTTCTGCATCATGTTGCAGCTCTTCGAACTTGTTTCTGAAAGCTGACCCTGTTTATAAAGTTTTATAGGTGAATACAGATGAGCCATGCAACCATTTCTCCCCCATGCCTCCCCACTTCTGGGTGAATGAGGATGTAAACGAACAGATCAGGGTCAGTCCAGATCTGCGGTACCAGCTGTCACCCTCCAGTGTGACCCAGCGGGCAGTGCCAACAGTTCATCTGGCACTAATTCTGTTTCCCAGAGATGCATCTAAGGCAGTGGTCCCCAAACTACGGCCCGCGGGCCAGATCCGGCCCCCGTCCATATTTGGTCCGGCCCCCTGAACAATACCAGAGAGCATTTAGATTTTTTTTCATATATGTGTATTTGTATTTGATAATAAAGTTGGACTTTTGCAATAAAATGTTTCTTAGTTATGAACTATTTTCATTATTAAGTAATATAAGTTATAAGTTAGTAACTATTTCATACACGCATATAACGTGACATTCTGTTCCACCCTTCTGTGGTCTGTGCCCCTATCTGGCAACCCCCAGAAAAAAATTCTAATCCCGCCCCTCGCAAAGAGAGAACGGAATAATGGCGAAAAGATTAGGTAAGAGAAAAATTGATTCAGAATGCAGGGCATTTAACCTGCAGTGGACAAACGATTATTTTCTGTTCAATGCAAAGAAAAGGCTGTCTGTTTCATCTGTCAAGAGGCGGTGGCAGTATTCAAAGAATATAATCTGCGGCGACACTATGAATCCCGCCACAAAGACAAGTATGCTAGCTTGCAAGGCCAAATGCGAGCAGACAAACTCTCAAAGCTAAAAAGTGGACTGTTAGCTCAGCAGAATACATTTGTACACCAAGCTCAGCTGAACCAGTCATCTGTTCGGGCCAGCTTTCCGGTTGCTCAACTGATAGCAAGCAGCGGTAAACCTTTCACTGATGGAGAGTTTGTCAAGAAATGCATGAACGCTGTCGCGGAGGAGGTGTGTCCTGAGAAGAAAGATGTCTTTAATGCCGTGAGTCTATCAGCGAGTACAATCACCAGACGCATTGAAGAAATCGGGGGTAATGTAAATGCCCAGCTGCAGCAGAAGACGAAAGAATTTTAATTTTTTTCATTAGCACTGGATGAGAGCACGGACGTGCAGGACACCGCGCAACTGCTCATTTTTGTTCGTGGAGTTAGTGCAAACTTTGAGATCTGCGAGGAGCTGGCAGCCCTCCAAAGTCTCAAAGGGACTACGACGGGGGAGGATATTTTCGGCAAAGTGTACAAAACCATGGAAGAGTTGGACCTGGACTGGTCAAAGCTGGCCAGCATCACAACTGACGGGGCTCCTAATATGGTGGGAATGTCTCGGGGTCTAATAGGACGCATGAACCGGGAGATGGAAGAACGAGGTCTCACCGCCCCGCTACAAGTTCACTGCCTAATTCACCAGCAAGCACTGTGCTGCAAAGTGTTGGCTTGGGATTCTGTCATGAAGGTTGTGGTGTCATGCATAAACTTCATCAGAGCAAAGGGACTTAAACACAGGCAGTTCCAAGAATTCCTGTCTGAACTGGAATCTGTGCACGGCGATGTGCTGTACTACACAGAGGTCCGATGTTTGAGCCGGGGCAGAGTTTTGAAGCGTTTTTACGAGCTGCTACCTCAAATTAACGCATTTCTTCATTCACAAAACAAAACGGTGCCAGAGTTGATCGACCCAGAATGGAAATGGCACCTCGCATTTTAAACAGACATGACAGAAATGCTGAACAGCTTCAACTTGCAGCTACAAGGCCAGGGGAAACTCATTTGCGAAATGTATTCCCACATAAAAGCATTTGAGGTGAAACTAGAATAGAATAGAATAGAATAGAATAGAATAGAATAGAATAGAATAGAATAGAATAGAATAGAATAGAATAGAATAGAATAGAATAGAATAGAATTCAACTTTATTGTCATTGCACATGTCACAGGTACAAAGCAACAAAATGCAGTTTGCATCTATCCAGAAGTGCTTAGCAAGAAAAAATAAATTGGTAGAAATATATAGTACAATATACAGTAAGTTGCTTTGAATATGCTATAGGTATAAATATATACAGGTTGTGAGTGTACAGACTATGAACAGGTTATAATATGAAGGGGTATAAACAGCTATATAAAAGAAAAAAATATATATATATATATATAAGTATGTGAGTACTTATGAACAGTAGATAGTAGATTATGTGTACAGTTTGTACAGTAGTGGGCTAACGAATGAAAGTGCAGGTGGTGGTGTTTCAGTCCATGTGTTGTTGTGTGTATGAGAATACAGACCGTTGTTGTTGTTCAGATGTCAGGAGGCAGAGTTCAGGAGTGTGACAGCTGTGGGGAAGAAGCTGTTCTGGTACCTGGTGGTTTTAGTCCGGAGGCTCCTGTAGCGCCTCCCCCTGCACCTCCTTAGAGCTGCTTTTGGGACACGTGAAAAAGCACAGCTTCATCCATCTCCCTGCTACACAAAACCTCTCTGCAGAGAACCCAGCGGTCCCGTTTCCAGCTGAAAAGTGTGTGGAAGCACTGGAAATGCTGAAGGCGGAGTTCGGTGCACGATTCCGTGAACTACATGTTTATGCAAAAGAAATCCGTCTTTTCCAGAACCCCTTTGTTGCCGACATTGACGAAGCCCAGTCTTCTTATCAGTTTGAGTTGGCCCAGTTACAGAACTGTGATGTTCTGAAAGACGCGTTCAAGCCCAACGGTCTCATTGACTTCTATGCCGTGTAGTAGTACATATACGAGATATATATGCATACTTTTCACGAGTTCCTCATCTTTCTGACTGTGTAAATGTCGTGCATTGAATTTTAACAGAAATGCGAACGAGAGACGTTATTATCTTTGACCCATCAAATGAATGCGGTCATTTATTTTCAGAATCAAAGTTTAACATCAAACATTTACATTAATTTGGCAAAATATGAAAATAATAACAGACAAGTTTCACAAAAATGGGCTTCAATCACACGGCGGTGATTGAGGACTTAGCTTCAGATATTTCTAAATATCTGTACTGATTTTAGGAGAAAGCAGAGTTTAAGATGGAAATGGAGAATTTATCTTACAGAGAGATTTGTGAGGGAATTAATCTGTTTGACCAGAAAACGTGCACGCTCCATCAGATCTCAGCTTGCGACGGTACGCTCGGTTGAAGTAGGTCGTTACCTGGTTGACGATGAAATCAGCTCGGTATAGAATCCTTCAGACCTTTTCAGGGTCTCCGTTGAGCAGCTGAAATCCTTCGAGAGTCGTGCGTGGTGTTCAAACAGAAATTATAATCCCAACATCGTCACTGCATTCTGTATTCCAACGGAAGCACTCTGGGCTTCAGACATCAGAGTTTTCCCCATCAGACATCAGAGTTTTCTCCTTCAGACATCAGAGTTTTCAGACTCTAGAACTTCTTCAGAACCTCCATCACTCTGAGACTCTTGGACCCTCGGACTCTTGCAACTCTTTCCCTCCCAGACTCTAACAGAACCGGGAAGTTGCCACATTTTAAATGAGTTGACTTCCGGGTCAATTTTAGAGCTTTTGATTGGTCGATGGACCAGGAAAAGGTGTGGTTTGTGATGTAAGATGTTGTCATAAGTCGAGGTCAGAGAATGAGATTGTTCAACAACTAACAGAAAGATAATTGCAGAAAAACCAGACTTCGTGGCGTCTCCCTCTTATTATCTTCTGAAAAAGTTTAAACATGACATTTTTCCTCGGTAAACATTTTAGTTGACCGAAACCGACCTTTAACATACTTACAAAACTTGGCTCATTTCAGACAGAAAATCAAGAAATGCATATTAACCTGATTTCTTCTTTGAATGAGGAATAAAAATCATTACTTACTGTTTATGTAAAATAAAAATGAGTAGTTCTTTTCAACCTGTAACATTGAGTGAACTAACACAATTTGATTATCAAACATTTGTAAAACAGTGATGATTATAAAAAATTGTCTTTTCTGCTTGATTAATTCAAGAAAGAAAGTCACCAGATGGATCAAACTGTACTTCTGGATGCAGATCAATGAAATAACAGTCTCAGTTCATCTGATCAAGATTTGAGGTCATCAGGGTCAGATCAGGTTCACTACAGCCGCCCTCCCAAACGACACGTACCCTAACATCAGAAAACACGCAAGGAAGATGTCCACACTTTTTGGCAGCACATATATTTGCGAGCAAACCTTTTCACGCATGAAACTGCTGAAAACTCCAATGAGATCAAGATTGACAGATGAACACCTGCATCAGTGTTTGAGACTGGCAGTGACTAGAATGGAACCTGAGATTCAACTTCTCACCTGCCAGATACAGGCCCACAGTTCACACTGATGAGCATACAAAGGTAAGCTCACTTTTCTGACTTGAATGAGTCATTCTGACTATAAAAAATATAATCATAATAACCCTCTCTGTCAATACCCCAGAAAGGGTTATTTGGTTATTATTTATTTCATAAATAGTGTTATTTACTTCCTGAATTTTGTTCTGTGAAGAATCCAGAAAGGGTTATTTGATTGTGCTTTCTGGAAAACAATACATTTTTACGTTTAGGCACTCCTGCAATCGTCACACTTTTTCTGTTACAAACTGACTCCGGCCCTCCACCAGAGAAGGGAAAAGTTATGTGGCCCTCACAGGAAAAAGTTTGTGGAACCCTTAGATTCTAAGGGTTTCACAAAAACTGCTGATTCGCTGTTATCTAGAAACCTGCACAATTGTAACAAAAGATTTTCTCAGAACTTCTTTAGTTGAATAAACTTTATTTATTTACAAATTTAATTATATACAAATTATTAATTTCACCGTTTAAAAAAGCTTTTAGATAAATCAATGAAACACCCCTTTTCATTGTGTGACAGTCGGGCGTTGTTTTATCTTCTTGGAGATGCACCCTGTCCTCTTCCTCTTCCAGGCCCAGCATGGGGGCCTCTGGCGTGCTCGGGAGGACCCCCTCTTGGCCCTGGGGCACGGGTCACAGGCCTTCTGGGGTTTGGGGCAGCCAGTGACACCTCCTTTTGCACATTGACACCTTTCCCTGCCGTACCTGGCTTCATTTTGGTCGACTTGCTGCTCTTCTCTGGTACGACCTCTGTGAAAGGAAAGATAATAAATTACAAAAGTTGAGGACAAGTGGATCAACCTGGTTGATGTGGAGTGTAAGAATGGCATTAAACGATATATAAAATAAACTATGATGAGTTTACCAGGAGGTGGTTCCTCCTCAGCAGGAGGTGGTATGAGAGATTTGTCTGGCAGCAGATCCTCCAAGTCTTTCATCACCTGATTAGTGCTGTCCTGATTGTTCCTGCGGTTTTTCTCATCATCTCGAGCCTGAAATATTGACAGAGTACCCAGAAAATAATCTTGATAATTGAAAAAGCAAAAGAAATTTTAGAAGAAAAAAAATGCTACCAAATAAATCGCCCTCATACTGACCATTTGCATCTTCTTTTTAAGGTCAGTGTTTGCTTGTTGGTATCCCTTCGACACAGTGTTCAGATAGTATATGGCTAACCTGTGGATCAGAATGATAACTGGTTATTACATTAACATATATTAATAATTAGACACAGGAACATATCACTGAAAGAAGCTGCAGTAAGTTTAGATCCATGTAAATCAATGGGACTTAAAAATAAAAATACATCCAATTAACTTTTTTCCCCACAAGTTGGCTTCTGTTGATTCACATAGTTTTTAATTTGATGCAGCATTTTACAAATATTCTGTTTTCCAATATGTTTAGTTGTTATTTGATGCACGACTGTGTTGTAAGCATTTCTCTTGCTATATTCATTTTCTTTTCAAAATAAAGTATGCCCTTCAAAACAAAATAATTTTTGATTCATGGACTCAGTATGCAAGTATGAAACAGCAAATGCTAACATATCTTTGTTATTTAAATTGTGAGACCCAAAACAAAAGTTATACCTTGCTATTAACCTTAGCAGCTCAATTTTCACGTTTATCCAACAGTGTAAAAATTTAAGAAAATAGTGCATCTCGTTGTGCAATGACGAAATGATTACATTCCAGGTTATCACATCTCTGAACACAAACATTTAATCAATGTGCTTTTCAAAACTACAACTCATGTTTCCCTCACCTGTTTAACCTGTGATTATCATCAGCTTACTGTAAATACACATGTGGTCCCTCAAGTGTTAGGTTGTTGGATTGTACAACCAGATCTAATGGTGATGTGCTCACAGCGCTCTGTAATGGCACTGTGTTGCTTTGTGTCTCAGTCTGGGTTTGGACATGTCCGTGTTTGTCTCCATATAGCTTGTCTCAGATGGTGGCGATTCTTTCTGAGGACACTGTGTCCATCTTCACTTCACAGGATCTGTTACCAGGCGGGGTGTTCACTCTAGCCCTTTTCCATAAAGAGTTTGGCTCAAAAGGCTGAACTTGCACAAATTCACCTGGTTTCAATGAGTATACGTCCATAACCAATTTTTTGAAGTATTTTGATTGTCTCTCTCAATTAAAATGAGTCTTGACCTGTTGGCTGCAATAGACTGTCTCTGATTGGAATAAGTTTTCTTGCCCTCCTGCTTAACAGTCTCTGGACAGGGCTGGTGTCCAAAACTTGGTTCAGGTATTGCGGTGGTCTAGTATGGCAGGATATGGATCCTGACCAGCCATATTTGCTTCCCTCATGAGCTGTTTGGTGGTTTTAACAGCCAATTCTGCCTTGCCATTACTCTGCGGATAGCCAGGTGAGGAGGTTTTGTGTGTGACTTCCCATTTACAGATGAAATTGGTAAACTCTTCAGAACTGTACTGGGGCACTTTGTCTGAAAAGACAACATCAGGAATCCCCTGGTGTGCAAAATGACCTTTCAGCTTTCTGATTACTGTGCTTGACTTTGTATCTGGCAAATAGTCAATCTCCCAGAAATTGCATTAGTAATCTACAGTTATCCAGTGTTTATGATCAATTTGATTGCAATTTAATGTTCTAAAAACAAAAGAATTAAGATTGGTGCCCCTATTTAATAGTACCAGAAAAGACATCTCATAAGAGTCGTTTATGGCCTTGGTGTGAGTGTAAACCCTAAATGAGGAGAAACTTTCATCATATAAACCACACCCAACACTGAATTTATGCTCACATCATGAGAAGGATCGCAGGCATGATGAGACCAGGATTGCTTGCATATGAAAAAATGGTCCCCATGAAAGCTGGTAGATCCTTATCTATGGTCTCTATGACCACGTCGTACATCTTGTCCTGGCCACTGTGAGGAGGAAACAACAGGTCAGAGTGTTAAACCAGTCTGCTTTATGTGAAGACAGGCTTGAGAAAATGATTACTGAAAGAAAGTAACAATCATTGGTTGTAGTTTAGAAGACGTGGGTTTGACTTCATGAGACATTTTTACTTTTTCTCTTACAGCTGAGTGTAGCCTTTTGTAGCTTCATATGAAATAATTTTAGAATGTTTGCTCTGACTTTTTTTTATTAGTGTCCTTAAGTTTGGTCATATTTAAGTAAAATTCTGTAAAAAAAAAAAGTAAAAAAAAAAAAGTAAAAAAAAAATATATATATACACACACAAAGTATATGTAAATATGTATGAAGGATAGATGTTCAAGCAATCTTTGCTCTTCTGATACACAACAATTTAATACATTTAATTTAATTTATTAAATCAAATTTAATAAATAAAATAATTAATTCCTTCTGTATGTTTTTAAATCTCTGAACGGTTCTATCCCCTCTGATCTCACTGATCTCCTGCTGACGTGTTTCTGTCTCTTCATGTCATGATCTGCTGCTCTGTCACTCTGCCACGCCACCTCTGCACTTTCAGCTCATCAGCCCCGATTCACTGCACCTGTTCTGATCCATATTTTAAGACTCCTCTCACCACTCCAATCTGCCAGATTATCGTACCTCTTCATGGTATCTGATTATCCAGCCATCCTGTTCTTGTTCACGCCTGACGTTCACGCCTTGTTCTTTGGATTTTCGACCTCACGCCACTTCTTGTGGATTCACTGTTTTTGCCTGCTCCTTCTTTGATGCTGTTCTGCCCATCTGACCTTGGTACAACTGCATTTTTCTGCCTATGGATTATGGATTACAGATTGACCTTTTGGATTTGTTCTTGGACCTCTAACTACCTGTGCATGACCCCCGCTTCATCTCTCCGTCTCTGCTCTTGGATTTGCCTTACAGACCACATTCATCACAGCGCTCCCATGCACCTGCCCTGCAACCAGTACCGGTAACATCACCTCTGCATGCTCTGTCAGGTGGCTCGCACCCCACCTGCCTGTGAAGACTTGTTCTCTCAGTTTTGACCCTGACTCCCTCCTGCAGCTGCAAAATCAATAAAACTGTTTTCTTGTTTTTACACTCTTGTTGTCTGACTGATTCTGAATCCAAAACCCTGAGTCGTGACAGCTGCAGCTGAGCACGGTCCCACAGTGCTCCGAGGTCAGCAGACCAGATGCTTTTATTGGTTCCAGGTACTTGTTTTAAGCTCAGAGGTGACAGAACCTTCTCTGCTACAGGTCCAAAACTGTGGAATGAGTTAAGTGATTTGCATGTCAGGCAGGCTCCATCACTTCATCTCTTGTTGTAAAACTCACTTTTATTCCCTGGCTTTTGACTCTTGATTTTAACTTGTCTGTATTCTATAATGTTAGCCATTTTCTTTTTCTTTATCTATTTGGATCTATGTATTTTATCATTTGTCCTTTGCTTGTTTTGTTTTAGCTGTACAGCACTTTGGTTGGTCTTATTGCTGTTTAAAATGCTTTATAAATAAAGTGGTATGGAATAATGAAACATTTTTAATGTTTGAATATATATGCATGTTTAATTTTAAAACAACCCGTTTAATGGTGGCAGATTACTACCATCTTGCTAACCCAGCCTAAAATATCACTTGTGTATTCACACAAACAAAATAAGAGTAAATATGAACTAAACTGTAATAATTCACTATAAACTATACATTAGCTTTTTATTTTATTTTTGGTTTTGATTTTTTTTTTTCGTCTTCTTTTCTTGGGCTTTGTTAGATAAACTATACCTCATTTGCAAAAACTACCACGTTAGTTTGAGCTGCTGAATGAAAAGTGAAACATGCCAAAATATACCAGATGCAACATGGTAAAAAGATGCTATTAAAGTTTAAATTAGCTCAGCCTAAACAAGCGGAGCAATGGTTCATGTAAAGAACTCTTGTGCTGTCAGGAGTAATTTATAGTTTGAAGCTTTGGCTATATTGACTCTGACATAGTTACATACGCGACATAACCAGCTAACTATAATCACAATCATTTGTCTTTAGCTTGAAGAATATTCATTACATGCATATCTTAGCAATAGTGATGTAGGCTGTATTTTTACAGTGTCTCATGTTCTACTGACCTGAAGGGTCCACAGTCAAAGGATGGGGACAGGGTCATCATGCTGTAGATGACAGGAAGCACGCTCAGGAACAGGATGAGCAGCAACAGGCCCATGTAGAAGTTATTGGAGCGTGAGGCCTTGAAAACTCTTTCATGAGGGACGTTACAGGCCATCACCGCCCAGCACTGAAAGTACATGGAGCTGAGGAGACGCAGCACGTTTATACCCACCAGACCTGGAGCATAAAAGGCTCCCATCCTGAGGACGACAGCAGGAATAGCATCATTTCAAAATCCATCCATCCATTTTCTTTTGCCCGTTTATTCCATTTTGGGTCACGGGGGTCGCTGGTGCCCATGTCCAGCAATCACTGTGCGAGGGGCGGGGTACACCCTGGACGGGTCGCAAGTCCATCACAGGGCCACATAGAGACAAACGAGACAAACAACCATTCACTCTCTCACTCACACCTAGGGACAATTTAGAGTTACCAATCAGCCTAACATGCATGTTTTTGGTCTGTGGGAGGAAACCGGAGCACCCGGAGAAAACCCACGCATGCACGGAGAGAACATGCAAACTCCACCCAGAAGGCCCCTGGACCGGGGTTTGAACCAGGGACCTGCTCGCTGAGAGGCAGCAGCTCTACCAGTTGCGCCACCGTGCTGCCTCATTTCAAAATATATCTAATAATTAAATATTTAATGTAGTTTATTGGAAATGTTGTAACAGTCTACATTATCGGCAGAAATAAAATCTGAAGAAGCAGGTGGTAATTAGTTATTAGGTCCCAAAGAGGCTCTATCTTATTAGTTGAGAGCTCATTGCATCTTAGTGCAAACAATAAATGTAAAAAGAGACTTTGCACATGTGCAGCAATTCACCAGATCATTCCTTGGTTGAAGATGAGGCCCAGCACATTTCCACTGATGTCAAACTCTCCGTAGGAAGGCTGGAATGAAGATGACAGCATGAATAAATTGTTGACCTGAATTTAAAAACAGCAGGTCAACAACGCTTTGTATTTGCTGCTACCTATTGTTTCTCTCTCCCTCTCTGTAATTAAGTTCTCATTTCAGTCTCCTGTTTCCCTCTGTGTTTGGGATCGCCTGTCCTGCCAGATGTCAATGTACCGTATCAGGTTCTCTTGGGTCTCTTACAAACTGTGCTGTATTTACACAGTGTTCGACAGTGGAATCATTTGGCGTTCATATGGATTAAATTAAAAGTCTACTCTTTCATTTGGTCAAATAAATCAGAATGCTAAAATACACACGCACACACTAAAGTATGGGTACTCACAAAACCAGCCTCCAAGTCCCAGCACCAGCAGTAATTGAGGAAGCGCACGATGACAGCTCGGGCAAAGTCACCGATCAGAATAGTCAAATATGTCACTTGGACATCTGACACAGTTAGCTTCACAAAGTCCTGCAGTAAATACATTCACACTGCACTGTTGAATCAGACAACTGATTAAAAGTGGAAAAATGTGCAGTTCTCTGTGCGCACTATCATTGACCAACAGTATAATGTCAGAACTGACTCTGCCAACTGCAGTCTCCCAGCAGGGTCCTCTGATCACATCAGCTGGGTCCACGTTGAGAGGAGGCACGTCGGTCGTGTTGTAGAAGGAGCTGTAGTTGGCGTAGTACTCACTCAAAGCCCATTCTGTTTCATTCTTGATTAATTTTTCTGACTCCAGCTGAAAATACAAATAATGTTCAGCGCAAAGCAGCAAAGGGTTGATTGATGCAGCTCAGTTTACAACAGCGCTGAAACAAAACAGCTATTAGCTCAAGCTGGAAGCTCCAAACCAAGAAACAACTCACTTTCTGAGTAAAACTAAATTTGAATGACAGCAAGTCATTTTCATGTACATTAAACTTCAGTTTAGAATTTTAACAAATATTAATTAGAAGTTCTGAAATGGTGCTAGCACTAACTTTCTTCTCTTGTTGCCTTATTTTATGTAAAGTGTGAATAACTCTTCACTTAATTTCATAAATGTGCATCTTGGTTTAATGGGAAAAGTTTATTCAACCTCCTGCTGACTTAGCTGTTTAACTAGTTATCACTAATGGGATCTAGGTTTATGTAAATTGATGGGCTTATGGTTAGTGCAAATGTTAAAATAAACTAAATATGACAAATGAAGCATTTAAAACAGTAAGAAGTTTCCTTTTTTTTTACTCTGGTTATCTCTCATTCCAAGCAGAGCTATGATGTAACCGAAGCCATGACGAACTCTAGACAGGGTAATTCAACTGGTGGCACACGGGCAAAATCAGGCCCGCTGGTGATCTCAGTTTGGCCCACCAATGTGTTTGTTTTTAAATAAAACTAGAATTTAAAACATAAAACAAACTTACTTAATGACAATAACTGCTGGATGTTCGGCCCCTGAGCTCCTGGCTGCAGTAGCTGTGGCCCCTGTGCAATTTAGTTGAATATCCCTGCTCTAGCCCCTCAATAAATTCTTGTCATGTCCAAATGTCCACTTCTTCAAGTAAAAAAATAAGCAATAGTTTTAAATTCTTAATTTCTGTTTAGTATTTCTGACATTTTCTAATTGCTAGCTTCAGTGCTGTTTTTCACTAATAGTATTATCCTCTTAACCAGTGGGTCCCAACTCTGGTCCTTGAGGAACACCATCCTGCATGTTTTAGTTGTTTCCCTGATTGATATGTCTGATTTAAATGAATGGGTGATTAACAGGCTTCTACAGAACTTGATGAAGTAATCAAATTTACTGATGCAGGTGTGTTGCAGCAGGGAAACAACTAAAACATTCAGGATGGTGTTCTTTGAGGACCAGTGTTGGGAACCACTGCTCTAAACCAACAAAGTAAGCACACATTTGGGCACAGTCTGACTAGGAAGAGATTATGGATCTAAATGTGGTACTAGGAGTCAGTCTAAGTGGAAAATGAAAAACCTTACCACAAAAAATAAGGATGCTGCAGAAACAAAAGAAGACTAGACTGGATATGAAAATTGTACAATTGACACATTTGTTCTGTGTTTTGTTTTGTTTTCCCCTTTAACCTCTACTAAAGGTAATCAGAGGAGTAATAGGAACTAAGTGAGTTTATGAGAGAAGGAAATTTTAAAAGAACTGAATGTAAGACAGCAACATTTGTTTTGAACTCGCCTTTCCAGTGACTTCACCGAAGAGTGCGAACAGAAAGGTGTAGAGATTTCCAAGGAAGAGGGCAAATATTCGTCCCAGCTGCCACTTCAGGGCGACACGAGGATGATAATCCTCCAGTTCTGCGATGCTCTCAAACAGAGGAGGGCACACCAGTCCTAGCAGAGACATGACAAACTCCACCTGATGTGACAGAGGAGGCAGGTTAATTGCTCGTCTCCCTCCTTACTCTCAGTTCAGTGCTGTAAACTTGCCTCATTGTTTTCAAACCACGTGAGACTTTTTGGATCCATCTTTGCAAAGTCCTGAGAACGTTTCACCACATAGTAGATGAGATACCCACTGCCACCGAGGCAGCAGGTAATCAGAACGTTGGCAGAAACCCTAAGGAAGCGTCTGAGATGGATGTTCTCATCTTTCTGGTTTTCTTGTTCGTCCACAATGGATTCCTACAGTACAGACATTAAACAGTCAAATAAAAGTAAAACTCCCGCATCAAGTTGTTTTCACAACTCACTGCAACATAGTGAGGAAAAAAAAAAAAAACAGATAAAAACCAAAGCATAAAAATGTTTTTCTTTCATAAACCTGTAAACTGACTATATTCAGATTGAAATTTGTTCAGTGTTCCAAGAGATAACTTTTCATAATAGGGTTTATGTTTATACTGATCTTCTAAAAATGACTTCTAAATAGTTGCTCTGATTTGTCTTCCAACATCAAACCTTTTTATTATCTTCTGTGAAACTGATGCACCCACAAAACACACCTGCTGACCTTGAAGCTGGTGGTGATGGAGGCATATTTGTTGTCTGCTGTCTCAGGGTTCCCTATCAGGTAGTCCCAGCTGGTGAACATCTTCCAGCTGAAGTTGAAATCCCCCTCATCTGCTCCGTCTCCTCCCTCATTCGCATTACGGGCCATCCTGAAACAACAAACATCTATTAAACAGATGAAACTTCCTCATCTGCGTGCATGACCAGTGGCATTCATGCATTTTAAAGCCCTGCGTACGTTCTGACCACCACCAACAAGCTGTATCCAAATATCCCAACACTGGTGAGCAGGTATGAGAGGGGGAGTCTGAACTTCAGCACCCCGATGAGCCGTTCGCTGTTGTAGAAGCCGTAGAACAAAACCGAATACTTGAAGTAACCCTGTTGACAATATAAAGAGGAACTTTTAAACCCACTGTCTGTTTCCTGAAAGTTCCAGTAAAATACATTCATGACATATTTTGCTAAAAGAAAGACAGAGTTGACTTCAATAATTAATGCCAAATATTTTTACACAGATCTTGCATAATCAGTATTCAAAGTGTTATTAACAGATCAGACTCAGCTACTACCACACCAAATTTAACTTTAATGTCTCTACAATATACTGAGTTATATATAGCTATGTTCTGTTTTGAACAATGCTGTCCTGTAGCGGTCATCTTGAATAATATTAACTATTTAAAAAAAATCTGCTGTAGATGTCATCCCAAGGATTACTTTCACACACAGAGGAAAATAACATTTTTATTCCACCTTCACCTTCAGCGACGAGCAATAAAGCCAAATATTTGTGATGAGCAAAAATGTGCTCAAACATTATCGTGGAAATCAGCTCGTTTGATCGCCGTGGGCTCAGATTGCGGTTACAGTAGTCACTCACTATTTTGTGGTTCAACTTCTGCGGACTCGCTGTATCGCGGTTTTTGGACGTCCAGTCCAAAATATTGGACAAAAACGTACAAGATACACGATAGTGGACTGTACAGCAATACTGTATCACTGTACTCATGTGGTTGTGAAAAAGTTAGTGAGAAAAATTAAATACATCGGACAGGTGTTGCCATTTTGTAGTTTTCTCTCAGTAAGCCTCCACTCTATTCCCACTCATAATGACCACATTTCCCAGAAGGCAACAGGGCCCTGCCGAGAAGCCCCATTTCTTTCTGCTGAAAAAAACAAAAGTAAAGTTTTGATCTGCTCGGTGCCCAGCGAATGCAGAGAAGCTGCGCTGAACCCACCAAACCGGACCAGAAGAGGAGCAGAACCAGACCTGCAGACCCATCTGTGAATCTTGAGAGCTGGTAGCCTGCCCACGTGAACCTCAGAGCAGACACGCACGGCCGATTGTCCAGTGATCCATCTGAAGCTAAAAGGGACTTTTTCATCTGTTTCAATTGGCCAACAATATGCAGGCAGCGGACGCGCACGACCGATGATCCCGTGATCTATCTGAAGCTTAATGGGACTTTTTTAATCTCTTTCAACCGGCCAATGAGGAACTCCGAGTGGAGACACACTGGTAAGTAAAATTTAGTAGCTACATATACTGTACAGTACATATACGTATGTTAACAAAGTTCATGCTCAATCATCCAGGTACCAAAACCAATAATTCTCAGTTGGGTCATTTGGACAGTTTCTTTTTTATAGAGACATTTCGCCCTCTATCTGGAGGGCTTCATCAGTCAGGAGTTCCAGTAAACTGTTTCCCCACCAAGCAGTAAACTCCTGACCAACCAGTTTGCTGGAACATACATTACATTACATTACATTACATACATACATACATACATACATACATACATACATACATACATTCATACATACATACATACATACATACATACATACATACATACATACATACATACATACATACATACATACATACATAGATGATAGAAGGAAATTATATTTATTTGTTGCCTTGAACCACTTTGGCTGTGGCTGCCTGGGAGGAGTCGACGAGGGCCAGGACGGTCCACAGAAAACATCTTAGCTCCAGCAAACTGGTTGGTCCACCTAAGGAGTTTACTTCTTGGTGGGGGAACAGTTTACTGGAACTCCTGTGACTGATGAAGCCCTCCAGATAGCGGGCGAAACGTCTCTATAAAAATTCAAAAAGCGTTCAATACAAAAACTACTGGACTTTATCTGTCTCCATAAAAAAACTGTCCAGATGACCTGACTGAGAATTACTGGATATACATATGTTGTTAAAATGATGTAGGTTTAAGAGTTTAGAACATTGCAAGAGTGTGGGATGGGTTTCTAAAATCTTAAAATACATACAGTATAAATGCTAAAATAAATACTATACTTTCACTACTTTGCGGCTTTTTACTTATCGCGGGGATCTGGAACCTAACACAATAAACGAGGGACTACTGTACATTCCTTGTGGTTCAGGACAAACCTGAGTCATTTAACAGATATTTATGTTAGTTAATGAATCTAAGAGTCTCACACTAAAGTCAGAGAGCACTGTGTAATCCATGGCTGTGGACTGTTCATCTCTGGGGACAGTTTTCCTGGGAATGGAGCCGTATGGAAGACCCATGAGAACCTAAACATCAAGGAAAAGAATTGAGATTAGAAAATAAAGCCCTAAAAAGTGTTTTTAGATTTTATTACGCCTGTTAGTGTGGACAGTAAGAAAAAAAAAAACGAACCTCTGGCAGAACCACAAGGCCAAACATGAATGCAAAGAGGATCAGGTTCAGACCATACATCCACCTCAGGAAAAGGAAATAGGATGCCACAGACGATCCAAAGTGACCTGTTGGACAAACAGATAACTGGACTTAATAAAAGATGAAGGCAGATTATTGTTGAGTGTTTGGTTTTTGTTCTTCACTGAAACCAACTTTCTACTTCCTTGATCTTCCTCTCCCAGGGTATACAAGCTGTTTTGAAGTTATCAAAGTCCCGATTAAACTTGATGAGTTTCTATGTGGGGAAAATTTTAACAACGTCATTCACATTGGAATACTTTAGACTACACCACAGAAGTTGCGCAATCAGAACCTTACTTTAGTCATCATGACTTTAAATGCATACAACCTCCGGCCTTTGCCTTTTCCAAGAGCTCCTTCAAACTTTTCAACAAACTCCTGGGCCTCCCTGTTCAACAGAATAAAAACAGCAAAGAGTGCAAAAATATAAAAATAAAAACATGTAATAGGTGAACTACGTTAACTAGAAAAGGTGTGCCAAACAGCTTGTGAAATGAACTTATGAGAAGTTATTAAAGGTAGGAGCGTCATCAGTCTGTCAGTCAAATCAGCTTTAAAAAGAGTTAGACATGATAAATAAATAAAAAAGTTTAAAATACCCAAACATGAAAAACAAAAAATCTGACGCTAATCTACACCTTTTGCAATATTAGAAGAGATCAGAACTATAAGTCATTTCACACTGAAAAGAAGGTTTGCAACAAAATGTCTTAATGTGAACAGATCATCACTGCTTTTCTTTTTTTAATAAGTGTTTGTCCAAAGTAGTTCTCATTACTTGTTCTTTGAGCACACAGAAGACAATACAGTTTTATCAGTTGCATTGGTGCATTTCTCTGATAAATAATAATAATAATTCATAACCATTAGTTCAGCCTCCACAACATTCAGCCATTTGTGCAGATCATGCTGGCTTCCTTAGAGAACTTGGCTTTTCTATGTATGCGAATGTTCCTGTAAAGTGCCCTGAAACCACTTTGTTGTGATTCGGTGCTATACAGTATAAATAAACTGAATTGAATTGAATTGAATCGTGGTAATTTCTCATTCCTTCCAACAAATTGCAAACACTTTTGGACATGCATCAGTTGCTGCCATACAACTCTCTGCTGTTTTATAACAATCATTTGCTTATGTCATGTCAGTCAAAATGAACTATACTTATGAATGCTGTAAAGTCTTCCTCTTCTTCTTTCACATTTTCCCTCTTCAGGGGTCACCACAGCGAGTCCTCCTCCTCCATTTCACCCTGTCCTCTGCATCCTCTGTCCTCTTCTCTCCTTGTAGTCTTCGACTAAAAGTAGTAAAATTTCTGCCAGCTCCTTTTTTGTTAACAGCACCGGCGGTGGTCGTCGTTAACCTGGGCCTCAACCAGTTTGGTGTGGTTTTGCTTTGATGAAGTTACATTATAGTTTCGGCAAAAACGTGTTCTATGTCGGATGCCCTTCCTGACACGACCCTCGTCATTTACTCAAGCTTGGGACTTGCACATGAGAGACACTGGCTTGTGCTCCCTAGTGGTTGGTTTTGAGGGCTGAATAGTCCATCCATCCATTATCTTTACCCGCTTCTTCCTTTTGGGTTGCGGCGGTCACTGGTACCCATGCCCAGCCATCACTGTGTGAGAGGCAGTGTACACTCTGGACAGGTCTCCAGTCCATCACAGGGCCACATAGAGACAAACGAGACAAACAACCATTCACTCTCTCACTCACACCTAGGGAAGTTAAAAGTTCCAATCAGCCTAACATCCATGTTTTTTGGTCTGTGGGAGGAAACCGGAGTACCCGGATAAAAGCCACGCATGCACAGAGAGAACATGCAAACTCCACCCAGAAAGGCCCCCGGACTGGAATTTGAATCGGGGACCTGTTGGCTGAGAAGCAGCAGCTCTACCAGTTGCGCCACCGTGCTGCCCTTTGTCAAAACCTTTCAACCAAATAATGTACATTTCTTTATCATTTTTTTCATGAAAGTGTCTCCCAATTTGAACAGTTTCTCTTAAGTGAGCATCAGCTTTCACTGATAAGGAGGAATGTGTGAAGCATTAATTGTAACCCATGCTAAAACACTTCTCCACATTCACTCCGAGCTGAAACCCATGAGCCCTCAATTGCCAAGCATATAGCAGGACATAGTGCGTACCATTTCGACAATACTCTTCTTTCTTCGGCTTGTCCCTCTTCATCTGTCTCCACAGCGAGTCATCCTCCTTCATACCATACCATACCATACCACTTTATTTATAGAGCACTTAAAACAGCAGCAAGGCCAACAAAGTGCTGTATAGACAAAACAACAGGTAACACACGAAGCAATATACAAAATGAAGTAAATCAGAATATAGACATAAAAACGATGCAGATAATGACGACAAACCAGTGTGGAGCATACAGGATCAAAACATATCTCACTCTGCGTCCTCTGCATCCTCTGTCCTCACTCCAACTACCTCCATGTCCTCTCTAACTGCATCCAAATACTGTATCTCCTCTTTGGCTTTTTCAGCAGTTGCATTTCTAACATCCTTCTACCAGTATACCCACTGTCCCTCCTCTGGACATGTCCAAACCATCTCAGTCTGGTCTCTCTAACTTTATCTCCCAGTTGTTCAACCTGTACTGTACCTCTGATGATCTCATTCCTAATCTTATCCATCCTTGTCACTCCTAAGGAGAACCTCAACATCTTCATTTCTGCCACTTCCAGTTCTTTCTCCTGTCTTTTTGTCAATGTCACTGTCTCCAGACCATACAGCATAGCTGGTCTCATAATACTGTGACACAAAAATTAAAGGTCAGCATGATGGAAGAGGAGTGAGGATGTGGGGAGGCAGGGGACAAAACAGAGGAAGAGGAAGAAAAGGCCTAGTACATATGCAGATTCTTGATGAAATTAGGACTACAATTGTGGACCATGTTGTCCATCACAGCCTCACAATGGCTCAGGCTGGTTGAAGAGTGCAACCAAACGTTGGGAGAACCACTGTAAATTCAATTATTCAAACATTTTGTTGGGAGAACATGTGTGTATATTTGATAGTAGTTCAGCAATAAACAATCTGTACCAGACTGCTGTCATTGTGTCAAACAGGAAGCTCGCAGAGAGACAAGAACTTTTTACATTTTACATTTAGACTTACAGCTTTACCGCAGCACAGATTTACTGTATTGTTGTGTAACCTAGTAAATGTTTGCCATATTTACAGTTCCAATATGTACTTCAGAACTGTTTACAGCTGTGCACAGCTCTACCTAAAGGGTGTTTTTTTTATGTTTGTTGTAAGTAAATTGTGTGCTGCTTTTGCACAATGCTGTGAACAAATTAGAATTGCAAAGAGCATGTGCCGTAAAAACGTGAAACACAAATTCAGTGTCTTGTACTCATTTATTTCACTAAATACAGCAAAGTGTAACTTCACTGTATATTTCAAATGTGCAAATAGTGTATAGTGCTATTTTGAGCATTTTCAGGTAGTGTGATGATATTTTCAATGACTTGAGTGCTTTGCAGGAATGAACTATCCCTTTTGAGCAAGTGACATACTTTTGCAGGTTATCAACTAGATGTTGCAGTTTGTACTAATCTGTTTGAGAAATGCACTAACTGTTGTGCACATATTAATAGTGATGTGAGAAATGCACCAAAGCAACTGAGAAAATCTTTAAAGGTGCTGAGGAAAATACAAAAGAAAGCATCAAAAGAAAAGATGCAAAATAATCAAAATAAAGCATCAACCAGCTGAAGATGCGTCTTTCTCTCTTTACCTGAGCACCAGGAGTCTCTTCTTCATGCGCCAGGGTTTGTTTCTTATGGTGGCGATCAGTTTCTTCTTCTCCTCCACCTGCTCCTTCAGAGCGGCAATCTCTCCCTCTGACAGCAACTCTTCATCATCATCATCATCTTCATTATCATCATCATCATCAAATGAACTGTGAAAGGAGAAATAGATATCACCCAAAGAAGAAAAAACAATAGACAGCAGCACATCAGAAAACTGAACGCTTGGCATCAACCATTTTTACACAAGCTCAGTGAACTCAAACCTGCAGAAATGATCATGCATAAAAGATAGATGAAAGTGATTCAGATGTCCCAGTCTGAACTTTGTTGGCATTTCTCATAAATGCATTACATTTGGTTTGGTTTTGTTGATGAATCATGATTTTAGTTTACTGTGCCATGAAACTCATTTACGTAGCTTCACCAGTAAACTCCATACATCATTCAAAATGTAACAATTTTCTAATTTGTTCTGTTGTTTTCATCAAGCAGCAATAAATAACAGATGAAGAAATGAAGTCATCATCTAGGTATATCTATCCTTCAACCTTGGTCTCTTACCGGTAAATATTTTCATACATTTTCTTAAAATCTATTTTTTTGATGCATGCTACTCAAAACGCTAGTCATCATCATCATCAACAACTTTATTCATAAAGCGCTTTAACACCAGCCACAGCTGAAACAAAGCGCTGAACTTCAGTAATAAATAAGATAATAAATAAGATAGAATGCATAAAAATAAAGTTACAAAGCTAAGCACACAATTAATTAAAAACTCAATTTAAAACAAAATTAAACGACGAGTTAAACAGATAAAATCAATACCAATAAAAATGAAGTAAAATCAAGTCTCAGTGGGTTGAAGGCCAAAGATGAATTTTCAGACGGTCGATTAAATCCCTGAGTTGTTCAGCATGTTTTATTGTTGCTGCTCGTGGAAAATAACTTTTTTTTTATGTTTACTGTTGCTTGTTATTGATAAAAAGATATCTAATTGAAATGATGTATATCTGTGTTGTATATTCATGAATTAAAGTGATTGGCGATATCGCAAGTTGAATGTTTCTCAAATACTGCAGTTTCCTTTAACATTCAATGTCACAAGCATTGTCTTTATTCAAAGAGAACTTTACCTGTTCTTCTTTGCATTCTTCTTCTTGTCCTTATCATCCCCATCTTTACTGCTGGATTTTCCCTTCTTTTCTTTATTCTGTTCCTCTTTCTCCTTTTTAGACACAGCTTTCCCTCTTTTTTTCTTGCTCTCTTTTTCATTTTTTTCTTCCTCCTCCTCACTCTCCTCCTTGCGAACAGGTTTTGCACCTTTTCTTCTGGAAGATTTTGATGCCTTGCTCGTTACGCTTTTTTTCTCTACTTCATCATCTTCATCACTGTCTCTGGATTTTGTCCTCTTCCTTTGCCCTCGTCGCCTTGGCGGTGTTTTGTCTTCATCCTTGTCTTCATCATCATCATCATCATCATCACTGACTTGTTTGGCTTTGCGCTGCACTTTGGCTTTTCTGTTTCTGCTTCTTCTCCTAGCCTCATCTGAGATAAATCCACATTTTGTTAGCTAAAACTTGGAGCAGTAATCTTACAATCTGTGTTATTTGTGAAATCAAATGTAAAAATTTAAAGATGCAAAAAATGATTGGAAAATACACCACAATTTTAAAACGTTGAGACATGTAAAAGGTAAAAAAAAAGAACAGAATGTAATAATTTGCATATTTCATAAACCTATATAAAAAAATAGAAACCATCAGTTGTTTAAAATAAAATAAAATTATCATTTTGAAATAAAAAGTTTTGAATTTGATAGCAGCAACGCATCTCAAATAAGTTGGAATGAGGTAACAAAAGACTGCAAAAATATGTAGTATAAATAAGAAAAAGCTAGAAGAGCATTTTACAATTAAGTAAATTAATTGGCAACAAGTCAGCAAGAGGACTATAACAAAGAACATTTTAGAGAGGCTGAATCTTCTCAAAATTAAATATGGGAAGATGTTCACCAACCTGAATCTAAACTGTAGAATAATTTCACAATAATGTTCCTCACGGCAGCACGGTGGCACAACTGGTAGAGCTGCTGCCTCTCAGCGAGCAGGTCCTTGGTTCAAACCCCGGTCCAGGGGCCTTTCTGGGTGGAGTTTGCATGTTCTCTCCGTGCATGCGTGGGTTTTCTCCGGGTGCTCCGGTTTCCTCCCACAGTCCAAAAACATGCATGTTAGGCTGATTGGTAACTCTAAATTGTCCCTAGGTGTAAGTGAGAGAGTGAATGGTTGTTTGTCTCGTTTGTCTCTATGTGGCCCTGTGATGGACTTGCGACCCGTCCAGGGTGTACCCCGCCCCTCGCACAGTGATTGCTGGACATGGGCACCAGCGACCCCCATGACCCAAAATGGAATAAACGGGTAAAGATAATGGATGGATGTTCCTCACAAATAAACTGGGAAGACTGAATATCTAATCACTTACAGTTGATAATATCACCAAAAGATTTCAAGAATATCGAAAAATTTATGTGCACAAAGAACAAGACTGAAAGTTAATATTGGATAACTGTGGTCTTCAGACTCTTAGACACATCTTCAATATAAACAGGTCTGTTTATGTTATGAACATCATTACTTGGACTCAGAAACATTGGCACAAATCATTGTGTGCAAACTCAGTTCAAAGTGTCATCCACAGATGCAGGTTAAAGCTCTGTCATGCACAAATGAAGCCATATATGAACAGAGAAGTAAAGTGTTCTGCAGTCAGATCAGTAAAAATATATTTATTTTGGAAAACACAGATGTCACAGTCTACTTATTAAAGAAAGGAGGGACTATTCAGCTTGATATTAGGAAACATTTAAAAAAAACTCTGCATCTCTGATGGTATGGGGGTGCATTAGTGCCTACGACATGTGCTGATTATACAGTACATCTGCAAGGAAATGCAGAAAGTATCAGAATGGCAGTAGTTGCACCTAGAGCAGAAGGACTGAGATGAAACAGACTCAAACTCGAGGTAAAAAGGTAAGTGATTTTATTTATAGTGTTTGAATATTTACAGGTAGCGCTGGAAGGATCTAAAAAAGAAGGAAAGCAAGTAGGTTTTTGGTAGGCGGTGGTGAGGTTAGGAATAGCTATTATTTCCTTACAGGTTTCTTGGGGGTTCCATGGCATTTGAGAGGAGGGTGGAGAATTCCAGGTACGTATGATGACTGATTGTGGTGGTTATACAAGAGGATTGCAGGCAAGCAGGTGGTGAGCAGCTGAGGAGCAGCAAGACGGTCTGAGGCCAAGGTAAGCCATCACAGGAGTTCAGAGCTTGTCTTGGAGGCACAACGAAAAAAGATAATACAGGACTTGGTCACAGAGATGTAGGTTCTAGGAAACATGGCAGGAAACAGGTAAGTATAAATCTTAATTCATGAAAACACTAGGAGGCTGACAACAAAGCAGACTGGTATCTAATGTTCCAACAGGGATAGAAACACTTCCATAACCTTTAACCCTGGAGGTCATCAGAGGAAATAGGCCATAGCTGCTGTTTGCTGGTGCTGCCCAGCACTTCAGGAACCTGCAAGAGAAGATGGAATGCTACAGTACTCCCATTTCAAGAATCACCTCTTGGTGATCTCAGATGTTTCTCAGAGAGATCACTGTAAAACAAGGAGATGAGGCTTGGATTTAAGAAGAATGACCTGGGAATCCAAGACCTCTCCTCGGGGTCACATCCTTCCCAGTTGACTAAGTACTGGAATCCCCAACCTCTGCATATTACATCAAGGATGTGACTGGCCGTAAAACCTGGATGACTATCAATGAGTCAAGCAGTGGATGGGGGTTGGCAGGTGGGCACAAGGAACTCTCTGAGACTAGTTGCATTTGGGACACACAGAAGGTAGGATGGATGCACATAGAGGTGGATAATTTGAGTCGTACCACAGAAGTGTGGATGATCTTTACAATGGGAAAAGGACCTAAAAAACAGGGAGCCAATTTCCTGGTTATCTTAAATTGATGTCACAGGTGGAGAACCATAACTTCTGGATGATCTGGTAGGTAGGAGCTACAGAGCAATGTTGATCAGCAATTTTTTTGTTCTGGTCAGCGGTGCGTAACAAGGCCTATTTGGTCTGTCACTACACTATCTGACAATGATGGAAATGATGCTGGACAGAAAGAACTGATACCTTAGACTCCTGACTGAGAAAAACAAGTTGTGCATAACCCAAAGATGCTTCAAATGGAGAGAGACTAGTGTTGTGAGCATACTTTATCCAGACCAAATGTTTGCTCCAGGAAGAGGAATTATTATGAATTATTCACCTTAGGGCAGCCTCAAGCTCCTGGTTACATCGCACTGCCTGACCATTGGACCGTGGATAGTATCTGGATATCAGGTTGGATGAGGCCCCAAGAGTGTTGCAGAAAGACTTTCAGACTTGGGAGATGAATTGGGATCCTCAGTCAGAAACAATGTCTCCCATGAATTCTGAACACATTTTGAAACAGAAACTCAGCAGTCTCCAGTGTGGAAGGAAGCTTGACAAAAGGTATTTCATGAGTGGCTCTGAATGACTGTGCTACACTCAGGGGATAGTAGTCCAGTGATGAAGTCTAGGAAGATGTGAAACCATGGGTGACTGGGGATAGGTAAAGGTTGCAGTAGGCCAGGTAGAGGTTGGATTCCACTCTTGTTGCGAACACAGATGAAACAGGTAGCAACAAATTCCTTGATGTCTTTGTTCAGTGTGGGCCACCAGACACATCTCTTGGTGAATAAGAGCACATGGTTAATACCAGGATGACAAGTCGATATTTGGTGTGGACCCATTATAAGACCTTGCTTCTGACTGACCTTGGAATGAACTACCTCCCAATGGGATCATTACCTAGGTCAGGTTCAGATCTCTGGGCCTCCCAAATGTCCCTTTTCGATGGTTTATTTGAGAATGCCAATGAAAGAATGCTCTCTTTGGTCTTAAGCCCCCAGTATATTGCCGCGTACATCCATACGCAGAGGTACGCACGTACGTACGCAGAGGTACGTGCGTACCCCATGAGGTGTCGCACAATAAACTGCCCAGCGACGGACTGTTTTGTATGCGACGCCAATGTATTAAATTCCCCTTCTTCATCTCTGATCTGGCCTTTTCTTTTTTTTTTTTTGCCAAGAGGCAGTGATCTCTTCCTCCTCCGTTGATGCCATGACTGAAATGGTGAGAAAAGGAGGAATTTGTCACGAGCGAATTAAACTCAGGTCCAGCGTGGCTGCGGGAGGGTCTGGAGATTTCCTGGTGGGCTGGTCTGATGTGTGGGCTGTAGAGCCAGCGCTCCCTGTTTTTTTTTAGATCTTTTTATTAACAACATATAAACACAGAACACCGCTGCAGCGGAGGCTGCCAGCGCTCGCTTTTTTCTTTTTTCCGACCTGTCAATCAATCCAGTAGGCGTGTCAGCAAATGGCCAATCGGCGACCTCAATTTGTCCCGAAGGTAAACGCCCCTTGTCTGTGAAGCTGCTCTGCAGCTGCTCGGGGTGTACGCTGGAGTATGAAGACTGAACCCTCTGCGTACAGTACATGTGTACGTACGCGTGAACGGACGTACGCGGCAGTATACTGGAGCCTTTAGGGTGATGAAAAGCAGAGAATTGATGAAACAAGACATTAGCCTTGATACCAAAGTCCATGCACAATAATCCAGGTATAAAATCCAACAATGTTCAGTCAGATTATCTGGACAGTTTCTTATTTGTGCTGAAATGGTTTTTGGTAGATTGTGGTGAGGTTAGGAACAGAAATTCTTTCTTTACGGGCTTGTTGGGGGTTGCATGGAATTTGAGAGGATGGTGGAGGATTCCAGGTACATGTGATCAGTGGAGGAAGAGAGGTTGAGGTGATAGTGGTGGTTACCCAACAGGATTGCATGCAGCAGGTGGTGAGCAGATGAGGAGCAGCAAGACATTCTGAGGCCAAGGTAAGAAACCACAGGAGTTAAGGATAAGGCTCATCTTTTGGAAACACAAAGGAAAAACAGATAATACAGGACTTGGTCACAGGGAGGGAAGTTCTAGGAAACATGGCAGGAAAAAGGTCATTATAAACCTTCATTCATGAAAACACTATGAGGCTAACAATACTGATTGGTATTTAATGTTCCAGCAGGGAAAGGAACACATCCACAACCTCCTATACCGCTGGAGCTCATCAAAGGAAAAAGGTCATAGCTGCTGCTTGTTGGCACTGCCCAACATTTCAGGAACCTGCAGGAGAAAAACACTGGAATCCTACAAAAAGTCCAGTATATGCAGGCTTTAGAACAACATGAGCTCCCGTCCAAACAGGGTCTTTTTCAGGGAATGTCTAGCACATAGCAGCAAGACAAAATTAAGCCTCAAAGTGCATTCATTATAACAGCATGGCTTCATAGTAGAAGAGCCCTGGTACTGAACTGACTTGCTGCAAGTCCATACCTCTCACTAATTAAAACATTTTTGGTACACAATTAAACAAAAAAAACATGCTAAAGAATGCTCCATTGGACAAGAACAGGACAACATTTTCCTCCTAAAACTTCAGTAGGTGGTCTCTTCAGCTCCCAGAAATGTGAAGACTTGTTAAAAGAAGAGGGGATGCTTCACAGAGGGAAACATGCCTCATCTTATTTGAAACGTGTTGCTGCTGTAAAATTACAAATTACCGTAAATTATTCCCCTTTTCTCCCAAACGACTTGATTTCTTAATTTAACATTTTTATTTATACTACGTTCACTGAATAAAATGTGGGTTTATGAAATTTGCAAATTATTGCATTCTCTTTTTTATTAACAATTTTACACGACTTTTCAGAAAAGGGTTTTATTTATATTTATAAAAGCTACCAAATTTAACTAATGCAATGATTAAATATTCAAAAATATTGAAAATAGGAGATAAAAATAGCAATACTATTTATCTTACTGTCACACATCTAAGCAGTTTTGGCAGACTGAGTAGAAATAGATATTAGATGCTCTTTAAAGAGCTTACCTTCACTGCCAGTGTCAAAGTCTGCATCTACGTCTATCCCAACTGGAAACATAAAATGACCAACACTCAGTACATTGAATAAAACAAATTTTAAGACTGCACATGACAACAAAAGAAAATGTTGCTCACCATTTTCAATTTCAATAACAGAACTGTTTTTCTTCTTCAGAGGCATTTTCCAGAGCCCCTATAAGTTTGTAGTTTCTTCTTTTCCTCCAGGTGTTTCTTCTTTGCTGACTTACTTCATCCCATCTCTGAGTCACTCGACATATTCAGCTGGGGCAAAGGGAGGATACAGTGTCAGACAGCCTGTGCGCACACGTGTGCGCACACGCACGCGCACACACACACACACACACACACACAGGTGCGTTTTCCCATTTTTACAAGGACTTTGCATTGACTTCCATTGACTTTGCATTAATTTCTTTAGTCCAACCCTGGCCATTACCCTAATACTAACCATTACCAGTACATACCTCACCCTAAACCTAACTTAAACTCAGTTCACACTTTAGTATTAAACTTAACCCCTAACATAAAAATGGCATTTGAACATACAAGAATCATGTGGCAGTTGGTCCTCGCAAGTTGGTGTGTATTAGAATAATGGTCCTAACAAAGTAACAAAACTCTCACACACACAATCACTCACAGAAACAGGTGTGCTGCTTCAGGATCTGTTCAGACACTGGGCTCCACCTGTTCCTTCAGATGACATCATGACAATGAGACAGGAGCAGAATCTATTAGACAATGGACCTGTCAATCAAAATGGTAAGTGACACCACAAACAGGAGTGAATGTGCGCTCACTTATTGCGTTCATGAAATACTTGTTGCCTGCCAAACTTTTGGACCAAGATTATTCATTGCTGGATTGTGGCCACTTACAAATAACATTTGTACAATCGTAAGCACTACCTGGAAATGTCACACTCAGAGCATGTGTTGTGAATGACTCTCATCTACTACCACGTCAACTTTTAACACAATTTGCTCCAGTTTGGGCCTTATTCAACCCTTGTCCCCATCCCCCATCTGCCCCCCTCTAGCGCCCTGGATGGCAGCCCTCTGCTCCACACATGTTGGCTTTGGTAGCACAATGTGGTTGCAACAAGATGGGCATACTGTGTAAAACAATTACCAATTTTTTGTGTGAGTGTGCTCGCTGTGGCAACCTCTCAAGAAGGGAGCAGCCTAAAGAAGAAGAAATAAAATCTGTGAAGTTGACTGAGATATGATTATTCTTGTGTGGGCTAAATAGATCTTTCTACAATTTCTACAATTTTAAATAAAATGTGTTCAGTGGTTCATGAGGTGTTTTGTGTTGGATAATTTAATTATCCCATCTGCTGATTAAATAAAAAAGCCACACAGGAAGGAGAAGATATTTTCTTCCCAAGTTGAATCTTGCAAGATGGAGCAGCGTTGAAATAAGCATCAAGATGTTTACATGTCACTTCATCTCCAAGACTGCTCACAGGCCGTATAAGGAAGTGTCTTTTTATGATGGTTATCAGACAAAGGTGAGGTCAGACAACTTTTGCTTAGGGCATTGAGTTTATCAGGTGAAAGGCTGATCCATCTTTCTGCAGCTCCACTCTGTCTACACAAAACAGCTCTAACACTACACATGGTTCATATACATTTGACATTAATAAGTGAAAAACATATGTGACCTTTCAACTCCATCATTTTGCTTACAGACCTACACACATAGATATGCACAAAAACAGATAATGTACACACAAAAGGAGCCTTTTTCTCTCTGGGGCAACAATATTTCATTGTTCTCAGTTTCATTAAAATTGGGACAAATGTTTGACGTTTTTTTTTTCATTCACATGATTTTCTTATTAAAATGCTATTGTACCACACACCACTAAGAAGCTGCTCTGACATAAAGCACTGATGCCTTACGTCATTTACCGATACTAAAGAACGCAGAAAGAAGACACCAGAGCAAATGTAGAGAGAAAAAAGAGCCGGCATTTATTAAAGTTTGATGAACGCTGACGATAAGCTCGCCAAGAGGTGAAACAATCACTGTATTTAAACACCGGACAGAGTGTTTACATGGAGTAGGTGCAAACTGATCAGACAGTTGTAGCTTTACTCCGGTGTACTCTGCGATGTCATCAACACGACCGTCTTCACTGCATGGCACTATTTGCTGAATCAGCATTAAGTCAGCATTAAGGTCTACTGTACAGGAAAATAGGGGAGTGTGGTAAAGAGGTGATTCTTTCGTGTTGCCGTGTTCATTGGTCCTCGTATGCTTGCGCGGACTCATGTTCGTGCTGCTGTTTTTATGGCACATTGTTATTGTGCTGTTGGTGCTTATGTAGTGAACTTAACCTGATGTCAAGACTAAGCCTAAGGTCAAAACCCTTGACCTTAAGAACCTTGTGGGACAGAAACTGTCATTTCATTGATTTTAATCCAGAAATACATGTTCACCCATCCTGAGACTTTCTTTCTTGAAAATTCAAGTGGAAGAACACTCTCTTTTCTATTATCATTACTATTTTACAAATGTTGATAATAAAAGTGTCTTAGTTCAAACCATTTTAGATGTTGCAGTGAACTAATCGATTTTATTAACTGAAACAGTGTAATGATTTTTAATTCTCATGCAAAGTTGGAATTCATGTTAAAGCTGTTACAGAGTAATTATGCATTTTCTGATTTCTGTCTTTGAATGAGCAAGTGTGCGTTTTCCAGGGTCAGGAATCGAAGCAGACATGTGTTGGAACAACTGCCTTGTTTTTACATCCTCTCAGACGTCAACAGGGGGGTTTTTGCACCTGTTTCTAAAACTTGCCAAAACAAAACACTCTCTGTCTGTGAGAACAGTTTAATCTGTTCAATAACATTCTTGCTGTTTTTTCTGACTTCTAGTAACCTCTGACATCACAAAACACACCCCTGTCTGGTCGGTACTGACCAATGGGAAGACTCCCGAATGAACCGGGAAAAGAGCTCTTTAAAATGTCGGTACTTCCTGGTTTACCCAGTTCAGTTCTGCGCGGAGAAGCCCAGTTCTGTGGGTTTGGAGAAGTTCGGCGGCGCAGACAGTTCTGATATGTCCTAGTGCTGGCAGTTGCTGTGGGAGCCGGGAAGACCCTGACATGACCACAGAGCTCTTCCGAGTTTCATGGGATTATAACATTTTCCACTGAGGTGAGCTTGTGTCGGACAGAGTCTCGCCATTACTCCGGACGATTCACAGCCATCCTACGGAGACGCTGAAAGGGTGCGTTAAACGGAATCTCGCCTGAGACATCTCCAGGTAAAAGAGTCGATTTCACCACCTAAGTGTACTGTAAGGAAGAAGCTGAAGAAAGCCCGGAGAGTGCCGTTCTGTTCAACACTCTCCCTCAAACACCATCTTTCACCCCTTTAACTTCCTTCCCATCTTTAAATTCTTCTCTAAAGTAGAAATCCTTCTAGATATTTAGAAATGTCTGTGTAAAGTGCTCATCCACCGCCGTGTGGACAATTGAACATAATTGTACAGTTTTCATAAATGTCTGTGGTGAAGCAACGGAAAATCATGGCCGTATGGTTTTCCTGATTGATTATGTTGTTATTTTCATAATTTGCCAAATTAATGTAAATGTTTGATGTTAAACTTTGATTCTGTAAATAAATGACCGCATTCATTTTGATGGGTCAAAGATAAACGACGTCTCACGTTTGCATTTCATTAAATTCAATGCACGTTTTATTCAGTCCAGAAAAATGAGGAATCCGTGTTAATTGATGAATATATCTGAGCATCTGTTCATCTACACTTAGCATATTCTTAGTCTTGTGTACTCTTATAGTTTAGTGAATGTAGCATATTCTTGGTTCATGACTCGGATCTTACTAATGTTTTTCTTTACAACTTGTGTTTTTGTTGGATGTAACTGGAACCCTGTGTACATAGTTTCATCCCACCTCATGTACCACATGTAGTTTGTGAGGTGAGATGAACTCTTTTTGAGGTGAGGTGTTCCCCTACAGGTGTGTATGACAAATAAATCTATTTGACTCTGAAAAAGAGAGTCCAGGCAGGATGGAATGGAGGTAACAAAGTTACAGGAGTGATTTGCGACAAAAGGGTGTCAGCAAAGGTCAAAGGAAAAGTTTACAAGACAGTGGTGAGACCAGCTATATTGTATGGTCTGGAGACAGAGACATGGACAAAAAGACAGGAGAAAGAACTGGAAGTGGCAGAAATGAAGAGGCTAAGGTTCTCCTTAGGAGTGACAAGGATGGATAAGATTAGGAATGAGATCATCAGAGGTACAGTACAGGTTGAACAACTGGGAAATAAAGTTAGAGAGACCAGACTGAGATGGTTTGGACATATCCAGAGGAGGGACAGTGGGTATACTGGTAGAAGGATGTTAGAAATGCAGCTGCTGAAAAAGACAAAGAGGAGATATATGGATGCAGTTAGAGAGGACTTGGAGGTAGTTGGAGTGAGGACAGAGGATGCAGAGAACAGAGTGAGGTGAGGAGGATGACTCGCTGTGGCGAACCCTGAAGAGGGATGAGTCAAAAGAAGAAGAAGAATCCTTAAACCAAAACTAGTCTAACTTTCAACAAGATCTGAGGCTCAGGGCCAGTCTTTCTTGTCGAACGCAAAACTGTACAAGATCTGAGAAGTCAAATCAGTGCTCCCATCACTCCTCCTTTCTTCATTACTGTTAATGAACAAGAGATGGCCATCGCAGTCCAGAGGAAACTGAGCTATCCGGTAATGTGCAGTCCATCATGGCTCAGTTTCCTGCTACATTGTGTTGGTGTGGAGGGAGACTGAGACGGAGCCAAAACACAGCTCCAGCAGGAGGGCGATACAGGGGGCATCAGGGGGTTGGTGTTACCGAGGAAGACATTGTCTCCACTCTTTGTTTTCTTCTGTAATGTAAGGACAGAGTCTCAGGTGCACAAAGACAAAACTAATTAATCCTAATCAAAGTCTCTTTCAACTTCATTAAACAACGAGACTGATAGTTTGTGGTTCTTCATGAAAGGGGAGCCACGGCCTGCTCATCTGTGGATCTCAAATAACTGCAGAATACATAATTAATGCTCACTTGCAATAAATTCATTATGAGCAACAATGGGGGTGGATTTGATATTTATTGTCAACATGATGAGCTTGTTTGGTGTTGTCCTGCATTTAGATTCACTTTGTACCAAAATACTTCTGCCGCATAGATCTTAGCAAAATCTGAAGTAGATGGTTCAGAACATGCCTATTGTATTTTGGCAAAACACTAACTAAATCATAAAAGTATGTAGCTAAAACAAACTAAAAGCTAAATGTAGCAAAAGACTAGCTGAAAAGAAAAAAGGAGCAAATTGTTTGTTGAGTAGCGAAAGACTGACTACAGAATCCAAAGATTAGAAGATAAAAGTGCCAAGGAATCAAGGATTTTTTTATTGTCATACCAGTTCACATTTGCATGTTTATGGTACGAAATTCAGACTCAGGTCCCAGATCAAGAAGCCTAACAATTAACAAATAAATAAATACAAAAGAATATATACATACTGTACATCTATATGTATCTATATCTATCTATCTATCTATATATATAT